AGAGTGAAGCACCATGTCGATCGCCAAGTCTTCCCCAAAGTCAACGTTTAACTTGCGAAGGCGGTCGACATACCTTTGCATCTTTTGCAGGTGCACGGTAAGAGACTCTCCATGACCCATCTTAGCGGAAATCATGTTAGTGAAAATCTCATAACGCTCTTGTCTCGCATTTTGATGGTATCTCTCCAATAAGTCTTGGTGCATTTCGTACGGATACATGTCCTCGTAGGACTTTTGGAATTCGGGGTTCATAGTTGCGATCATGATGCAATGTACTTTCGTTGCATCACGCTCGTGAGTTTCGAAAGCGGTCATTTCGGCAGGAGTAGCGATTTCGGGGTTGATTTTCTCGAGCTTCTCATCGAGGACATACTCCTTATCCTCATAGCGAGCAATCGTGCGAATGTATCTTATCCATTCGCTAAAGTTCGTTCCATCAAAGGTGACCTTTTGACAAAGGCTCATCAAAGTGAATGAACTAGCAGCAGCGTTGTTAGCGTTCGACATCTACAATAGAAAGGACAAAGATTGATTAGAATGTGAATCCCTAATTATCACCCAATAAGAAAAATTAGGGCTAGGATCCAACAACAATATTTACACATTAGAAAAGGGATGTCGTAATCTAACATGCAAACAATTTGAAGGTAAGTGAATGAGGATTCACTAATTCTCCACCAAAACATAACTTTAAGTCCTAAATGTATTGAGAATTCCTAGGTTCGGATGAGATTCATTGAAACTTTTCAATGGCATGTTTAAATCTCGATATGCCCCTCTTGTTTGTGACTGGGATACCGAGGATCACAAAGCGGGTGTGAATTACCATGCAAATTCACATGGTGCCTTCATTGTAACGATCACCTATTCGATGTGCCGGTAAACCACACACGCTCCATCGAACTATGATAAACAATGAATCACCCTTTGCCACCTTCGCTTAGAACCAATTAGTGTGCCGGTAAACCACACACGCTCCACTAACTTCTTAGCAAGGTGCAAAGTGTAATTTCATGGGATTGCATCAATTCACTTTTCCTAAAGTAACTAAGATTGGGAAATTTTAAGAAAACATGTAGTTACTTTGTATTTCTTATTATACTTTTAATGAGAGGATGAGGTTGCCCTATCCTACCCGTTCGGCTAACGACCCTCCACCGATCAAGCAAGCGGTGGGTGTGAGTGTACACCTATTAAGCGTCATTTTATAGGCCGCAACCTTATACCCACCTTATAGACCAGCTTCGTGAATGACGCCTACTAACGGTAAGACTAGCATTTAAGTTATACATATATAGATATTAATCTTGTAATATTATATTAGTATAGGGTTGTATTTTAAACTTGTAAAATTATAGGGTTTGAAATTTAAATTGTCTAAATTAAACTTTTAATCACAAAACATAAATTTCAAAACTTGAGGGCAAGTTTTAAACATTTAAAACATAAAGGATCAAATAACAAATAATTCAAATTAACAATTAATCACACAATTATCCATATTTGATTTATTTTATCTTTCTTGAAAAACAATTTACCAATTTAATCAAAATAATTAATAATTATCCTATACGGAAATTAAATATTTTATTAATTGATAAATATATTCAATTAGATAAAAAATATAGTCATATATATCATAAAATCGGATTTGGGTTAATCTAATATGATTAAGGCAAGTTTCCATAAGATAAATATGAAAAAATCCCGTTTTTGGCTCTTCCTAACGCTCGGACTCGTTGAGTACCCAAACTGGACTCGCCGAGTCAGGCCAACTCGCCAAGTCCACGACTCAGAAACACAAAATTCGAATTTTGTAGTTAGCATTCAAACAATTAAGCATCAATTTAATAGAAACCAATCTAGGCTCTGATACCACTGATGGGTTTTGTACATAAGAACATTCCTATGTGCGCATACAAACCCTAATGCTTGGATCTAGGTTTCTCTAATTAAACATGCATTGAATCCAAGACTCCTAATGGCTAATTAGGTATAAGAACAATACAAAATTAGAGTTAAAATCATACCTAGAAACACTTGTTTGATCTTCTTGTTCTTGGAGCTTTAGAGTCACAATTGTCACTCATCTAATGGCTTACAAACACCAACTAGCAAAGAGAATGATTTGAGAGAGAGGAGAGAGGAGAAAATCGGCCAGGGTATCCTTGCTGTAGAGGAGGTCCCGATTTCCTATCCCAAGGGGTCTATTTATACTTGTAAGGCTCCTAGGGTTTCACCCTTAAACCCTAATTGGATAACTTAGACTCTAAGCAATCCCAATCCTTTCCATAGATAATCCATGGACGAATTTGAGGCTATCCCAAGCCCTAGAATTCGTCCAACCCATATCCTATAAGGATTTACAGCCCAAAGTGTAACTATCAAACAATTGACAGTTTATACCCTCTTATTTAATTAATCTCTTTAAGTCACCAAATTAATACTAATTAATCTATGACTTATATTAATCAAATAACCATATTATTATTCATTATATTATTCTCATAATATATTAATAATATCTATTCTCTCATAATAAATCATCCTACCAAGTTTCTATGGTGAAGGCAACCCAAAAGGACCATGCACAATCGGGTCAAATATTTGCCTAATATAGTTGCAGCCTTAGACACTATTCCAATAATAATGTTCCAAGCTTGGTGCACATGAAAAGGGTCTTTGGCTCAAAAATCCATAAAAGATGTTCTACAAAGACCATGGGGCTCTCATGGCCATAGAGTTGGCACCTTTATGCCATGAGACCCCTCCAATAACCCATATTTGAAGTCAAAACCCCATATCAACCTTCATAAATTCGAAAATGGCTTAGAAAGCCCTAAAGATACTCAAAATCCAATCCCTAAGGATAAATGAACACATGGAAGACCAAGACAGGTGCATTTTACCTTGAATGAGCTAGAAATGGAACGAAATCTTTGGATCTCCAAGCCCCAATTCGAACTCTCAAACTTCCTTCCTCTTTTTAAGCTTCACAATCCACCAAAATGCACCAAAATAGCCTTAGGACACTCACACAAGGCTAGGGTTTCGAGATAATACTTTTTGGGAGTAATAGGGAATGTGGAGACTGAGATAAGTTGTTTAAATAGGGCACAAACCCTCAAAATTAGGGTTTCACCCAAACAACACCTACTCGCCGAGTCAGTCTCCAAACTCGTCGAGTAGGTCATTTAAACTCCCCGCGGATCACGACTCCACTGGACGAGTTGGCCCACCAACTCGTCGAGTCCCAGAGAAAAACATAGGAAATACTTAAAATGAATCATACTAGAAATCGGGTGTTACACATTGGACATGCATGTCTGAAAAGCATCGACTTTTAAGGTGTGTTTGGAGTTAGAGACTCTCTTTTAGCTTTTGGTCAAGTAAGCCCATGGATTGGACGAGTATTGCTAAAGCCATGAAGTGTTTTGGATCTTAGAAGTCGAGATCTGTACATTTTGGAGGGTTCTATTGGTTAAAGTTGGGAACTTTATCCATTTAGACTCTATTTTGGACCAGATCTGAGTTGGAGACCTTTTGGAATCGAATTAAGTGGCTAAATGCATTAAGCTGCTGAAAACCATGTAACCACGATGTAGCAAGGCCACCACGACGTGGTAGCGAGTTGTTCGCGACTGGTTTGTCGTATCTGGCACCACGACGTGGTGGCCAGGCTAAGTTGACTTTCTTGACCTTTTGACTGTTTAACCAAGTTTGACTTATAAGAGGTTTTGGGGCATTTTGAGTTGTACTTAAGGAATCGTTTATGTTTAGGGGTTGAGTAGAGATGATATTGGGGCCGAGATCTAGTCAGTTATCGTTCAGTATTCGAGGTGAGTCTTCTCACCACATTCATGGGTCGAAGGCACCAAGGTCGGCCCATTAATTGTTATGAAATGTTTAGTCATGGAATATGTAATGGTTGCTAATGATTTATATGTGATGTATGTAAAGACCATGGGAGGAGCCCATGATACTTGGCAAGACCATGGGATGAGCCTGTGGCTCGGGGATATAAGATCATGGGGGTAGCCCATGACATTCCAAATGAAAATCATGGAGGGAGTCCATGGCGAACTTGTATGTATGTATGTGTGGCATTATGTGATTATATGTTTTGTGTGTTTGAGGAAACTCACTAAGCGTGTGCTTATAGTTTTTTTTTTTTTTTTTTTTTTGATGATTCAGGTACTTCTAGCTCTAAGGGCAAGGGCTCGGTTTGATGACGCAGCGTGCACTCTCCAACATTTTTCTCCACTAGTAACATGTTGATGTATTGGATCTTTGGAAACATTGTATGATGGGAATTTCTAATCATTAAATATGGATTGTTAGTATATAGATGAGAATTTTTACTTGGTATTTTGGACTATTACATCAACTATCTAAAGTTGTTTCGACTTTCAAGAGGAGATTGTAGTCAAATGTGACTATTAAATAAATCTAGGGTTATACATAAATAAGTTTACTGTTAAAAGTGATATGTATATTGTAGTATAAGGACAATGTGACATTAAAATAAATCTAGGGTTATACATAAATAAGTTTAGTGTTAAAAGTGGCATGTATATTGTAGTATAAGGACCTAAATATAGGTAAAATGAGTTTTGCCCGTTTAAATACGTACAGTAAAGTTTTGTTTTTGCTTTAATTTTTTTTTTTCTTTGGCTCTCCTCTGTAAATCGCATAAACGCTTACACAGATCAATAGATAGATTAATCTTTATTTGGATTCACATATACAAGAGGAAATCACATTAGTAAAATTCGGGTTAACATATACCAAAATACACTATATTTATATTATAGATTCTCAAATATGTTTTTTGTAACAGGATTTCTAAAAGAAATACCGACGAAAACTTTATCCTTTTGTGCACATAAACTATATTATTTTTCGAATGATAAAAATATATTAACAAAAATGACAAAATTTAAAATATTATCCATAAAAATATATTTCGTGTTAAATTTGTTTTTGTAAACCAAAAAGTGGATGACTCGAAACACCATGAGAGATGAGAGAATCAAACAGAGGGTAGGCCAGTGCCACCCGCTTTCGTCTTTACCTTTAAACCCTTCTTCCCCAAATCCACAACCACCATTTCCATGTAAGACAACCATGGATTCCTCTTCTTTACATCTGCGAGAGTACCCTTTTCGCCCCTCTCTTCTCTCATGGTGAACAACCCACCTTCTCTATAAATACCCTCATCTCCCACTCACTCACTCACTCACTCACTCGATCGCCCCTGTTAAACCCTTCCTCCTTTCACCTTTCTTCAAATGGCTACCAATTCAGGTAAGTTTCATCAGTTAGGGTCATGGTTTTTTATGATTGTATAGTAATTCATGATCGGTTGTTTGATATGCTTGCTGATTGATAAATCGCAGTTGAGATCGAGAGTGCTGAAGATTCTAAAATTCATGTTTTCTCATCATCGACAGAGGTATATTCCGTAAAACCCAACCCCACCTCTCTGTTTTTGGATCCCGAATTCCCGATCATCTCAAAATTTCACAAAAAGTTGATCAATAACACTAGAAAACAGTCAAACACACGTTTCTTATGCCAATTCTGCATCTAGAAAAGCACCATCGGTGAAGTTAAATTTTGTTTCGAAACGATATCTCACATTAATCTTTTGATGATCAGCTGCTTGAAAAGTTGCATCAGAAATGGAATTCAGTCGAGAAGCCACCATATCCTGCAATGTATTCAAGTGTTTATGGCGGGATTATTCTCGATCCAGCGATGATGGTCATCCCAATTGACGATCATATGGTACATCGAGGACATGGTGTTTTTGACACTGCCATTATTCTCGATGGGTAAGTCCTTGATTTCATCAAAATCTTACACAATTCTGATCGATTCTAAAGTTGAATTCCAATCCATTTCACAGATACCTCTACGAACTGGATGCTCATATAGATCGAATCCTTGTATCAGCATCAAGAGCCAAGATTTCATCACCATTCCCAAAATCAACCCTTCGCACCATTCTCATCCAACTAACATCAGCATCAAACTGCAAGAAAGGAACTTTACGATACTGGTTAAGTGCAGGTCCAGGCGATTTCCTACTTTCTCCTTCAGGTTGCCCAACATCTGCATTCTATGCAGTTGTAATAGACGAAGAGTTTTCTCAATGTAAACAAGGCGTTAAAGTCATCACTTCCACAATCCCGATGAAAGTACCCTTATTTGCCACAAGCAAAAACGTGAATTACCTCCCGAATGTTCTCTCGAAACTTGAAGCAGAAGAGAAAGGGGCATTTGCGTCAATTTGGGTAGATGATGAAGGGTATGTTGCAGAGGGACCTAATGTGAATGTGGCTTTTGTAACACATGATAATGAGCTTATTTTGCCTTTCTTTGAGAAGATTTTAAGTGGGTGTACTGCTAAAAGGCTTCTTGAATTGGCTCCTAAGTTGGTTGAAAATGGGAGATTGAAGAGTGTGAAAACAGGGAATATAACTGTTGAAGAAGCTAAAGGAGCTGCTGAGATGATGTATGTTGGAAGTACATTGCCTGTGTTGCCGATTATTGAGTGGGATGAAACTCCTATTGGAAATGGTAACTTTTTAACTATTTTAAATAATAAAAAACTCTTCTTTTTTTTTTTTTTTTTTTGAATCTCCGATTTTGAAAAAGAATTGTTTAATGATGTTGGTTTTTACTTTTTACTTTTTATGGTGTTTATAGGGAAGGTTGGGGAATTGACAATGGCTTTATCGGATTTGGTTTGGGAGGATATGGTGGCGGGTCCTGAGACACATAGGTTAAAAGTTCCTTATGTGTAAAAAAAAGTGTCAAAGAATTGGATGTTGTATCCTTTGTTTTCTAGAGTGTGGAATGGAAATCACGAATTGAATAAAAGTTTGGGTTTGTGAACACTAATTCAACAAACCGAAAACCTCAAATTATCTTAACTATATTAAAGTTTTGTCATGAACCATACCGATAGTGTTGTAAACGAACTAAAAAAACACATATAATGTAAGGTCTTAAACTGGTAATACATTGATGCTCAAGACCAAACAAATGATTTTATTGCTATAAATATCTATCAAAATTAACGAATACATGTCTTTATTTATACTAAATAAAGGGTTAACCAAACCAAGACGTAATACCTGTTAAGCAAGTTGACAACTTCTTAATTTAAATCAAATACTTAAAATAAAAAGGTTTTTCCCAAAATATTTATGCACTCATAAATCCGATTAACATAACAATCACCCCTTAACGAGATTGGTCATACCTCACGTTCACAACAATATGGAATCATTGTCTTCCCGAACCATCCTGATTTTTCCCGGACATCAGATCTCCACCTCGGTCACGTCTAAAGTCATCCATACCCTTTTGATTGTTTACAACACACGTAACATGTAGCATGACATCCCGTTGGATACATGTATTACCATCTAGACTTTTCTAGGATTCAAAACCTCTCCCCGTCCAGATCAAAAGCTATCCGATTTGAACTTCCACTCCCATAATGTCCACACCGTGTTGTTTCTCCAATCTCTTCCTTTGTTTCGATTACCGTTCTTTGAAGAGGCATCTCCACCGACTAAGAAAACAAAGCCGCCCACTCCACCGTTTTCTTTCAATTTACCAAACGAACCGAATCCAAAGCTACCTGCTTTGACGAATCCTTCGCATCCGCTTTTCACGCACCTACGTCGGTATCCCCTTATTACGAACAAATTGATCAAGAACTATGCAATCCCTTTGATTTTTTTGCCTTCTGATTTCAACCGATCAACATCCTATTATCTCTTTTCATCACTCCGGCCTCTTTAATTAAGCTTGTTCTAAGAGTACTTTTCCACCGAACAATAAGACAAGGTCACGACCACATTTACCGTTTTCCATCACCCACAAAACGAACATAATCAAAGTCACTCACTTTGATGTCTTCCCATCTGTTTATTCCGCGCCTCCGATTATTCTCTTTCTACCTTAGAACAAACCCGATCAAGAGAAATCGAGGCTGCTGTTGAGATGCTTAAACTCGCGCTAAAAAACAATTCACACCCCCTTAAACCGAACTTGGTTCTTGCTGTGTCTACCCCACGGCAAAATGCTACAGTTTTCTTGAAGTCGGCTTTCAAACCGGCCGCCCTACGCCTTTACGAGCCCTAGGCTTTGATACCAAGTGTAAGGTATTAAACTGATTTAGATTAAGAAGTTGTCAACTTGCTTAACAAATATTACGTATTGGTTTAGTGGATGCTTTCATTAGTATGAATAAGGATATGTATTTGTTAGTTTAGACAGAGATTTTTTAGCAATAAAATCATCTGTTTGGTCTTGGGCATTAATGTATTACCGTAATATATTAATACCCAAGAGTCCAAGACCAAACAGATGATTTTATTGCTAAAAAATCTCTATCTAAACTAACAAATACATATCCTTATTCATACTAATGAAAGCATTCACTAAACCAATACGTAATATTTGTTAAGCAAGTTGACAACTTCTTAATCTAAATCAAATACTTAAAATAAAAAGGTATGAATCCCGTTAACCCTACATATAAAAGTTTGTTTATGCCTTTTAAGATAGTGAACGGACGCAAACGATTTGCTGATTTGCTGAATGTTTAGTTGGTTTACAAACTTACCTACCAAAGTGAAAAAAGGTATCTAAATAAATAAAATATTACTATAATTTGAAATGACTCGATGTATAGAGCTTTTACAAGCAAGTTGAAAAAACCTACAGGAAAATTACATAAAACTCATTAATTTTAAGCTATTTTTTTGTGGTTAAACCATTGGTTTCGGATTTCATTAATGGAAGTCATCCAAATTTTACGATTTTTTCTACATCGAGTACATTAACCTTCTATAACATGCTAAATTGGTCATGATATGAGATTTTGCCAGAGTTTAGTAGTTTTAGTAAAAAAAAAAAAAATTACTAACGTCGTTAAACTTTGATAAAAAAAATTCTATTGTTACCATTTAACTTGCTAGGGCCAAAGGTGACGATGGGTATCATGTTTGACATTTTTTTGTTAAATGGGTTAAACTCAATTGAGCATGTTTAAGAAAAATGTTTGAAAATGCTAAACCCAACCCAACATTTTAATAATTAGGTTGGCCCGTATATTCCCCCAACCCAGCCAGTTTAATAAACAGTTCATACATTAAAAATTCTATAAATAAATAATAAAGTTTTACACCAAATTAAATATGTTACATAGTCTATTCATTATTCAAATAAAATTAGAAAAAATTATGAACTTCAATAATTGTTGAAGTTTAATAAAAAAATCCAACCCCAAACACAAATTAAGTGTTCAAATAACATTAGAATTATATTAGATATATTGACATAACATAATTTTTAAACAAAGTTGAGTATTAGACTGTATATATATATATGTTATTTATTGTTGTATATCCTTTACTATTTATAATTTATGTATTCGATTATTCAAAGGTAATGAAGACGGATTGCATTTTGCAAACTATTATAGTATCAGAGCCCCGATTTCTTGGGTTCGTTCTCTCTCTCTCTCTCTCTCTCTCTCTCTCTCTCTCTCTCTCTCTCTCTCTCTCAACCACGGTTGATTCTTCTTCTTCTCCTCCTTCCGATCAAAATTCCAGCGAACCTTCTTCCTCCATCTCGATGACAAAGGAAGATCAAGCTACACAGAAGAATACCCCCCTTCATCCGGCTTACACAGTTACCAACATTCAGAACAAAGTCAGAATTTTGGATGGTGTTAAAGTCACGTATTCCTCCTGGGTAAAGCTATTCTGGATTCATGCTCGTGTATATAAAGTTTTGAACCATATTGATGGTACAAAGCCCCCAGCAGCCACCGATGAAGCCTATGACCGATAAGGTTGAAATAGACTCCATTGTCTCACAATGGATTTATGGATCGATGTTTGATGATCTCTTGATCCGAGTTCTTGAACCGAACTCAACCGCATGTGAAGCCTGGGAGAAGATCAAAAACATATTTCTTTGCAATAAGGGATCTCGAGCCGCTGCCCTTGAACATGAATTTACTAACCTCACTCTTTAATCCTCGGCTTCCCTCGATGACTATTGCCAGAAGCTTAAAGATTTAGCTGACCAACTGAATGATGTTGACAACCCTGTTAACGAACAACGCTTGGTTCTATAGCTGGTTCGTGGTCTTCCAACGGAGTATGACACTGCTGCTGCCTACATCAATCAAACTCTACCTGATTGGGATACCGCTAGAAGCATACTATAGTTAGAACACAATCGCCAACTTGCTCGTGAGAAAGTCAATACCGATTCCTCTACCGGAGAAGCCAATGTTGCTGCAGATAATCGTCAACAACCTCAAACCATTCGTGGTCCGCCACCCTCTCGACAGAATCATAGCCGCTCAAACCCTCGGGGTGCCACCCGACCAAACCAAAATGGACAGCCCTCACAGCGTAGTCCATCCAATCGATCCTTTGAACCAACTCACCGAACCACTGATTTCCCTCAAGCTCATGTTCTTGGGTCGTTTAATGCACTCGAACCTACTGATATTGGCACAACTTTTCAAACTTTGACATTGAACCCACCGGATGACTCTCAATGGTACATGGACACGGGTGCATCATCTCACCTTACAGGTGACTCAGGTATTCTAAATCAATTCTCTACTCATAGTCATATTAAATCTATATTTGTTGGGAATGGCAATAGTATTCCAGTTATGGGCTCAGGTAAACATACCATGATTACTACACCAGCAGCCCTTAACCTTGATAATATTTTATACACACCCGACATTATCAATAACCTTGTCTTAGTTCGACAATTTACCATTGATAATAATGTTTCTCTTGAGTTTGATCCTCATGGTTTTTCTATGAAGGACCTTCGGGGTGGGAAGATTCTTACCAGACACAATATTACCAGAGCACTCTACCCGTTTACTACTCCAGCATCCTTGCATCCGAATTTTCTTACAGTATCTTCTTCATATTTATGGCATTTTCGTTTCGGTCACCCAGCCGGAAATATCATTGATTATTTACACTCTAAGTCTGTTATTTCATGTAATAAGAGTCTTAGTAGTACTCATTCTCTTTGTCATTCATGTTAATTATCTAAACACAAGCGTTTGCCATTTTATGAATCTACATCTTTTACTTTATTGCGCTTTGATATTATACATTGTGACTTGTGGACATCTCCGATTCCTAGCAAAAGTGGATATAAATATTACATGGTATTAATTGACAATTTCACACATTATGTATGGGTATATCCATTAAAACTCAAATCGAAAACCTTCTCTCGTTTCACTCAATTCCACTCTTTCGTCCAAACACAATTTCATACAAAAAATTAAAAGTTTCCAATGTGACATGGGTGGCGAATTCGACAATAATAACTTCAAATATTTTTCTTCCACACATGGCCTCCTTTTTCGTTTTTCATGCCCACAAACCTCACCACAAAATGGAAAAGCCGAACGCATGATTCGTCGGTTAAATGAAATTATTCTTGTTCTTCTTGCTCATGCCTCCTTACCACCCGACTTTTGGGTTGATGCCCTTCACTCTACAACTTATCTTCACAACATCACCCCAACCAAAATTCTACACTACCACACCCCCACCTCGATCCTTTTTCACCGTAACCCATCCTATGACCATCTTCGGGTGTTTGGATGTGCTTGCCATCCCAACCTATCTGCCAGCCACGATCACAAACTTAGCCCCCGTTCCATTCGGTGTGTCTTCCTCGGATACCCGACCAACTATCGTGGCTATCGGTGTCTAGACCCCACCTCTGGTAAAATCCATCTCTCTCGCCATGTCACGTTTGATGAAAATGTGTTTCCCTTTGCCACTCCTAGTTCTCCTACCTCTCATGACTACCGCTTCCTCTCCACCGACACTAACCTTCCTTCCATCATTCACCACTTTACACCACCAACTCCCTCCCCGTCGCCCCCACCATCTTCGACCCACCCCTCTCCCTCACACAGCTCCTCCCCCCACCCCACCAATCTGCCCACTACCACCACACCCACACCCCCATCATTGTTCCTCCTACCCGTACATCTCTTCCTGTTCCCTCTCACCCGATGACCACTCGGTCTCAACTTGGCATTCTCAAGCCAACTCAGCGTCTCAACTTACACACCACCAATCTTTCTCCCATTCCTAAAAACCCTCACCTAGCCCTGCTCGATCATAACTGGAAAAATGCTATGAACGATGAATATAAAGCATTATGTGACAATGACACATGGGAATTGGTCTCGAGACTGCTTGATGCCCATATCATTCGATGCTTGTGGCTCTACCGCCACAAATTTCACTCCGATGGCACTTTAGCCCGCTACAAAGCCCGACTAGTAGTACATGGAAAGTCTCAGCAGTTTGGTGTTGATTGTGATGAAACATTCAATCCGGTCGTCAAGACTACTACTATACGGACGGTCCTCACACATGCAGTTTCCCGTTCATGGTCGATTCATCAACTAGATGTTAAAAATACTTTCTTACACGGGGACTTGGCTGAAACTGTCTATGCATCAACCCCCCATTTTTATTGATCGTACTCACCCTGATTTTGTGTGCAGATTAAGAAAATCATTGTATGGCCTTAAACAGACCCCTCGTGCTTGGTACCATCGCTTTGCAAAGTTCATTTCCTCTAAAGGTTTCCAAAGTGCAGCTTTAGATCAATCTTTAGTTGTGTACCGTAGCGGCAACAACATCGCTTACGTGCTACTCTACGTTGATGACATCATTCTCACAGCTTCTAATGATACATTCTTAAAGTCCGTCATCCAAACTTTGTCAGCAGAATTCGCCATGACCGACTTGGGTCGCCTACATCATTTTCTGGGTATACTCGCAGATCAACCTCGGGATATTGTGTATTTTTAGGAGACAATTTGGTCTCCTGGTCGTCCAAGAGACAACCTACAGTCTCTAGATCAAGCGCGGAGGCGGAATACAAAGGTGTGGCTAATGCTACTGCTGAAACTAGCTGGCTTCGAAATTTACTTCTTGAGCTTCATGTACCAGTTACTAAAGCAATGCTCGTTTATTGTGATAATATATCCGTTGTATACCTCTCTGGTAATCCAGTACAACATCAGCAAACCAAACATGTTGAGATTGATGTTCATTTTGTTTGTGATCTTGTCAAGATAGGACGTATTCATGTTATTCATCTGCCGACTGATCACCAATATGCCGACATCTTCACTAAAGGTCTCCCACGCCAGCTGTTTCAATGTTTTTCGGTCCAATTTATGCATTCGTTCCCATCCCACTGCAACTGTCGGGGAGTATTAGACCGTATATATATATATATATATATATATATATATATATATATATATATATATATATATTTATTGTTGTATATTTTTTCCTATTTATCTTCTTGTAATTGTAATTTAGCCATTTAGGTCGTTTGTTGAGATTATTGTGTATATATTCGATTATTCAAAGGGAATGAAGACGGATTGCATTTTGCAAACTATTATTGAGTAGATTGAAATTAGGTTGGAAATTTCAACCCTAACCCAACATTTTAATGAAATGAGTTGATCAACTTTCTTAAGTATCTTGAAAACCTCAAACCCGCCCGTTAATTATTGGGCTGTACGAAACTGAAATACATTATTTAGACCACAAAAATTGCTAAAATATACTTGCTAAACAACAAAAATGGCCAAAATATACTGTATTTTTTAAGCTCTTCTGAATTATGATTAAATGCTTTTGTGATTGTGGTTGATTTATTATTCTTTGGAGTTTGGTGTGCACCTTATGTTCTACAATAGTCCATGAATTTGTTCAGATTCTGATCTTGTTAAGATTAATGAAGTTTTAACGCTCTTTTGCATTTGAAATGCAATTGATATGATATTATAGGTATATTTTGTTTTTCGTGTTAAAAAGTAAATAGTAAAGCAATGAATGGGAAAAAAAAAATAACAACGACTGAGTTAATTGCCCCCATGCAGGATCGAACTACAGACCTCCAGTTTACAAGACTGGCGCTCTACCACTGAGCTATAGGGGCGATTTTGTTCAATTTCTCATATTTAAAGCTATATCGAGAGCTTAATAAAATTACATTATTATACCGGTCTAATATACTTATCAAAGAATTTTGTGCCGATTAAAATAATTTTATGTAGCTATGTGATTCTTAGGCAATAATTTAAGTTTAATAACTTCAACCTTTTAAAATTAATTATGTTTAATTTCTAAACACTGAATTTTAGTCACATTATGATACATTCACAATTCACCTAATGATAACTATGGACATTTTTAACCCAATGGCAATGGCTGCTTTAGGAAATATAATTTCTATCTAGTCTTCATTCACAGCCTCAAAATTTGACAATCTAGGATAGTCAAGTCATAATTATTTTGGTTGCTTGTTTGGTGTTCTATGTTATAATTTCATTGCCAAATCCTTTTTATACATACATTACACTTAGGAACATTATTCATCTTAAAAGATACAGAAATATTTATCAACCAAATCAACTAACAAATAAGATAGGACCCAAGTGAAACTCATCTTCCTTGAGACTCTAGCGGGATTGTTTCTTCTCTCTTTGACCTTCCACCATAGTCAAAAGCTACCGATATTATTATTCCTCAAAAAGTTGCCACCATTATGGTTCGATTGATACCGAATCATTTCATCTTTATTAGTATCCAAAAAATGCCAAAGTACAACTAAAACTACCGATGAAACAAGCATTGGAATTGGACCAAAGATCCATAAAACCAAAGTCCCTGAAATATAGAGCACACGCAATCCAACAAGCCAAAAGATACTTCCTCGTATCAATGCCTTTTGGATATATTTCATAGGAACATCACCTTTAGGCATGCTAATGAGGAAACTAGCATGCACAAAATGTCGTGTGGTTTGTACAAAACATGCAAATGCTAACAAGAAGAAAGTTATTATGGAGATGTACTTTATTGACCTAGTGGTGTGACTTTTATCCCCATAGATAAAATGGCTTGTGAAGAAGTTTGTGGAAGAACCTCCAAGTAGAGCTCCGATAAGAGAACATAAAACTAAAGAAATTGAAGCCAAAGAGATTGCTCCATTTAAGTTACTACTAAGGACCGATACAGCAAACCCTCTATCTCTAGTTTCAATCTGCATGCATCAAGATATATAATTAATTAACCATGGTTAGGTTAGATGTAGCTTAGGAAAAGAAAGATTATGGGTTCCTAATTATCAAGTATGTACCTGAAGCATTTTCTCAACCCATGCACTTTTATTATGGTTTTCAAACCCGATTGTTGTGGTTTCGGGAATGATATGGTATCTGTAGAGAAGGATTAGATGATAGATACACATGATTAGTAACCCTAATGGCACCAAAAATAAGTCTAAGTGTGATTCCTTCCATGTCCACCCCATATTCTTTTTTCTTGCTTTTCTCTTGTTCTTTGTGTTTCTTTGAAAGTATGCAAGGGGTGAAACTGTGAAAGAGACGAATTTAACGTAGAATTTGGTAAATGAAAGGTGGGTCTTTTGACATTTTCAATGAAATTTCGTGGGAAAGTGCTTTTTCTTTGTGCAAAATGTTTCCACTTTGAATTTTTTGACAACTTGCATATGTTTATTCTAAAGATCTATTAGAAAATTATACCTCTCACCTAATTATGCTGGAAAACAATATAAAGATGACATATAAATTTTACTTCTAAATTTAATAGACAATTCCATGATGGAAGCAGTAACCAATAATTTATTGTATATATGATATTATCTATAATTTATTGTATATATGATATTATCTATCCCACGTTATATTCCAGTCTTTGGTCTTTGTTTCTCCCTATCTCCAGGAGATCGATGTATTATTGCTACTTTAGGTTAGGTGGGGTTTTCTAAAATAGCCACCTCAATAACAGTTGATCTTTTTAATTTGGTGTAGAATTGATTGATGAAACGTATGCAAATTTTATTTTAATTATGGTAAGTAACAGTCATGATGTATGGCCTTAATTTCATAGTCTAGAAAATGTGAAGTGGTTTTGTTATCTATTTGTCGTATAGTTAGAGTGGTTAAATATTTTCATATCCTAGTTATTCACTTTTCCTTTTCCATGTAAATTTATTGAAACATGACACGGATACCTCAAGCAGTTTATAATTTTCTTGGACCAGTAAAATAGGTAAGCCTGATTAAGCCCTATATGTAGAAGTTGAAGTATTCAGTCCCTAAGAACATGGTATAAGTACAAACTCGTACTCCATGATTAATGGCTTGTAATGTAACCAATGTGTCAAGGATTCAAGTTTGGCTATTTTCAATGAGAGGATGAGAAAAATATTTACATTTTTTTGCATAGATGTGAGATGGATAATAAGTTATTGTCCCACTTTTTTGGTTGTGGCAAAAAAAATTTGCAATCTCTACTATATTAACATCAGTTTGGTGCTAGTATAATACATGTCAAACTTGATATAAGGTTCTCCTTTCTTAGGGGTGTGAAAAAAAAAACCAAAATCGAATAACCAACCCTAACCGAATGATGTCTTAATTATTTGGTTTTCATGTGATTTGCTATGTTTAATCGAATAACGATGACATTAAATCTTTTATATTTTGGTTAAACCGAAAAAGCAACTAAATATATGTTTTTTTTATAAGTTAACATTTTTTTTCATAGATTAGTGTTCTGTTTGGCGCGCCACAGCTAGCTGATAAGCTAACTTATTTTTCGAACTTTTTATGTTGTCGTATTTGATAACCCAAAAAGTAGCTTATAAGCTAGTTTTTTTGAAAAAAATACTTAGACTAGCTTTTTAGGAGTTTTTTTTTTTTTTTTTAATTTCCAAATACACCCCTTAATTAATTATAAAAACACATACTCTCACATGTCCTTTTATGTAATTTTATATATGTCAGCTAATTTTACCAAACATCATTTTTTATCAGCTAGTTTTTCAGCTATTAGCTAGCTTTTTATTTAACAGCTAGCTTTTCAGCTATCAATCAGCTTTTCGGCTAACAGCTAGCTTTTCAGCTAGTACGTCAAACATAGCCTAATTAGCAAGTTTTTTTTATTTAACTTGTTACTTGGTAATTTATAATTAAAAGTAATTCATATTTGTGTTGTATTTATTATTAAATATTACACAAACTTAAACAAATAATACAAAATTTAATATTATCCAAATGAAATCTTATTCAGTTTAATCATTAAATCGATCTAAATAAACCAAAACCAAATAGACCAACACCGATTTAACCAGACTTTATTTGGTTTGGTTACCTTTAATTTTGAGATGTAAAAAAACCATTTACACCGAAAACAGATTTAACTACGAGTAACACCCTAGCACTTTTGTCATGTTGTCCGTAACAAAATGGGCATATTTCATGCATCTAATGCAAAGGATGGTTCTCCTCATTGATAAGAGTATCTTAGTTCCATTAGAGAATTCAGGTAAACATTTGCCAACCAATGATTCTTTTGTATGATTTCACATTTGCTATTAGTTTGTGGTGATGGGGTTAGGTGTTCCTTTTGAGTAATCCTTTGCTTGTCTATCTTGAACATGACCTCATAGAAAAGAAAGATTAAAGATCATTTCTGTTAGAACCAATCTACCACCAAAATCTTACTTTAATTCCACAACCAATTCAACCCTTTTTGCTTTTACTATGTGTGTGCGTGTGTGGTGGGGTTGGGTTGGGCTGGGCTACTTTTTATGTATTTCATGCTCCTTTTCACTTTTGCTACGTGGGATATATAAATCTATGATGCCTTTGTTCAAACTTTAGACACTTTTAAAAGCATTTTCACTCCATGCCAAGCTATACTTGTTTTATAAAAAAAATATTATAGACCTTGAAGCATTTACATTAATTTAATGGTTATTGTGTATCTTCCCTTTGATTGCATTCTTCATTCTTGTTCATCTCTAACCATGAGACTCCCCTTGTGCATGTTCATTTTACCACTAGAATGCATCACATAGTCATACACACACAAAGCACAAGATAAAGCAAGTTTGAGCCTTTTGTGTTGGTTGTTTCAAAGATTTATGGAACCTAACAAAATACACCATGCCAAGCAATTCTTTAATCCTTAAAAAGTATTTGTGCTTAGTGGTCCACAACATGATTAGAAAAAGACAATTTGACTAGAAATAAGCATCAAGACCGAATCTTTGCCAACAAAATTAGCCTAATCAATAAGTTTAAACTCACATCATCCCAATTTGGTATAGTGATCATCACATGATGCAAGATTGAAACAAAAACTATCTTCCATATTTTATCAACTTTGTAGTTCATATATCCGACCACTCTTTAAAATACAACAAGAAACTTAAAACATGTTTATATATATTCAACACTAGAAACAATATTACATGCAGCATAAACCGCTTGTAAACATGCATCGAGTGATTGTACAATGAAAAACACAAAATCAAGTATGTCCAAGAATCTATCTCAATGACAGTAATACGAATCTAATTATCTAAACAACACTCCATCAAACTCTTTTTTTTATATATATATTTTTAAGCTCAAAATCCAAAACCAGCCACGTCAATGCCAAATGAAGCTCGGCGTGGTGGCTCGAGCTTGTTTTTCCAGAAACAAGATTCTGGTGCTAGCTTCATTGGCTCGGACTTGCATCTTGTAAGAATCAATGGCTCGAACCCATTTGTGTTGACTAACTTCTGGTCAAACTTTGTCGCCATTGATGAGCATGAAGATCGAGCTGGTTGCTGTAAAACTGGCTGACATTTTGATTCATCTTCACCGGCGATTGGTTTGATTGGCGGCGGCACTGGCGGCGGTTTTCTACCGGAGTGTCGCCGGATGAAGTCTGTACTGCAGACCCATGTTTCCTTTGATACCTCCATTGATAGCTTCGGCTCATACATCATTAGCAACAAACATTCAGGCAAATTTTTGCTTTTGTTGTTTATCTCTTCGTTTTCTTCTTCTTTAAATTCTGAATTTGACTCACATGCTTCGGTTTCTTCAATATCTTCATCTTCGGATAATTGTTCTTGAGCATCCTCCATTTCTTCTTCTTCTTCTTCTTCCTCTTCTGTTTCTTCAGGTTCTTGATTTTGATCTGTATTTTCTTCAAATAAAGACCAAAGATACATACTTTCTTCTTCTTCTTCTTCTTCTTCTTCGTTAGTTTCTATGCTCTGTTCTTGATTATCTTCTTCTTCTTCTTCAATACTCTGTTTTGTTTCCATTTCTGGATTTGTTTCCATTTCTGGATTTGTTTCCACTTCTTCTTCTTGAACTTTCTTTTCCATCTCCAGTTCCAAATTCTTTTCCATTTTTTCTTGATCGATTGCTTTCGCTTGTAAATCATCATGTTCTTGATTACTAACTTCAATCAAAACCATGAGTGTTTCTTCTTCCTCCTGCTGAAGATTTTCAGGAATTACGCTCTCTTCAATTTTCTCTTCATTCTTAAAAGATTCTTCATCTTCATCTTCTTCTTCCTCTTCGTTTTTCTCCATATTTGGTTCCCAGAATCGATTCGTGAGAGCTTCCATCTTCATAGGATCAGATCTACACCTCATCAATAACAAAGCATTTTTAGGTGGTACACATGTGCTCACCCTAGCTTCATCGATTGTTCCCAAGACGCTGTCGTTTACAATCTCCAAGTCCTGGAACACATGTCTTCTTGAATTCTTAATACCAATCTCATCAATTTCCTCATTCTCGTCATCATCGTCTCCGGCGACTAACTCAACCTCTCTCTCGCCACCACCACCACCACCGGTATCTCTTCCACTTCCATCTCCTTCCTGCAATGCCACCAACCACCGTGCAAACCCCGCACCACAAGACCCCTGTCTGTTTTCCCCAACCATCTTTTCCTCTTTCTCCATCGCCGTCGTTGAAGAACACGAAGACCGGCAAGGAAACAAACAGCTTACCTCAGACCCAAAAGCTCTTAAACCTTCACAAATCGTCAATGGTAAATGAACCCATCTCTGATTATTCCTCTGCAATGGTAAACATTCTTGATTAGAACCAAGATTTTGACTTTGACCACCAAACCCATTACCGGAATGCTCCAATCTCCTGAAACTAACTTCACCGGCGCTCCGTCGTCTCGATAAACTCCTCAAATTTTTTGCGTGCTTTTTCTTGCTCTTCACCCTAACCTGACCAATGCAGGTAACTTTAGGTGAAGACGGTTCTGGGTTTTCGAAACCGCTTCCTCTTTTTTTACCGGTGGCTGGGAACATTGCGGGAGACGCGCCGCCTTTGATGCTACGACTGTTTCTGAGCCTACGGCTGTGCGAGTTTGAGAGGGAAAGCGGCGGTGGGTCACGAGCAGCCCCAGCCCTGGCTGGACTGAGGATTGATCTGGATGAGATCTTCATAGAGGATGAAGATGTGTGAAGTAGACGAAGTGTTGGATAGATTTAACAACGATGGTGGTGGTGGTCTACCGGAGTTGATTGACTGTCATTGTGATAGATAGGTGTTGCGGCTTTCTTTAGGTGGGTTGCAGAGCAGAGAGAAGAGAACGATGAATAAATGTAGACACGAGACGTAGTTGGTTTCCGTGGGCCTATATCATCTGTGGGTGTGATGCGGTACCACACTAGCACTCT